GTTTAATGTTCACTACTATATGAACACATATTTGTGGCTCAAGCATTTGCATCAGGCAGCTACATACACGCATAGACGTATATATAGTTTTGTAGTATGTACAGAAGTCTCCATTCACAATGCATGTGCAGGTGCCACTATGTTTGTCTGGCTAAATATGCAAGCTCAAACATATAACTGGAGTGTTATTACTGTCTATAGCATTCACATCAAGTGTGTATATATCCATTTGAAAGTTTACATTTCAACAACAAAGGCCAGATGCCGAATGCATTGTATAAGAATGAGTCAATACCACAAATGGTTTTCTTTATATGGAGCGTGTTCACGTAAACACAAGCACAAGACCAGTGACGCGGTCCCCCCCCCCCGACCTACGAGCAGGCTGTGTGCAGTGTATTTATTTGCGTATCGTCTAGCGTCGCTTGATTTTCCCCCTCATTGCACAGCGCATAATTTTCGGAAAAACTGGTCAAACTTTTGCCGAGTTCTCTGCATTCAAAGCATTCCACGTGGTCCATTGTGTGTGCGTAGTCGGCACGTGTGCGCAATGCTCTCTGTACGTGATATATACATCCGAGAAAAGAATGTTGCACTCATTCCTCTGGCACTTGATAATGTGGATCGCTGATGAAATCGGATCTGGCTTTGTCCGCATCAGACAAACCGACAACTGAACAAACTGCGAGCTGCACAACGGAGCTGTCCGAGACATCTGCAAGCGTGCCCGATGTTTCCCTTGTACCCGTGTAATGTACATGTAGCAGAGAGAATGTGTTACACTAACACGCGCTATGATCCACAGTGGCGGCACCTCCCCCTCCCCCACCCCCTCTCTCGCACTGCGGCACAGCGAGAAACGTGATAGTCGTAGCAACACCGTTAGCTGTTTGCAGATGTCGCATTTAAATTTCTGCTGACGCTTTTGTGTGCGTCCGCTGCTATTCGGCAACAATGCGTCGCGGTTTGTGTGGACGCAAGGCAGTTTGTCAACCCAGGTGAAATTAGAGACCTCTGAAATGACAACAGCGCACTGCGCGCGTAGACATTCTAACGTTTAAACTGCCATCCACATCTGTATTTTCCTCCCCTATTGTGTCACCGAAAGTTCGTCGGCGCCTGTTTGCATGTGTACGGGTTTCGATGCTGACGTTTGCACAGTACGTATAGACTAGCACAGGTAGCACAATGCTAGTGGCGACCAGTTGTGGCCCCGTGCAGCAAAATGCGCGTACACCCTATGTAACGGTGCAATTAACGGTAATTAAGGTGAGACTGCTAGAGAGGGAGAATAGTAGTGAAGGACTGGGAAAGTATGAGAGAAAAGGAGGAGGAGGAGGAAGAGGAAGCAGAGGTGTGAGTGAGTTGAAGAGGGTAGGAAGGTGGGGAAGAGAGGGCACAAGGATGGAAGGAGGGCGTGAAAGAGAGAGCAAGAAAAATTAGCAAGAGAGGGGGAGAGAGAGTGAGACACAGAGAGGGAGTTGAGAGAGTATTGATACGAATAGTGGGAAGAGGGTTGTTGTGACTCAGCTCACTTGAAAGGCTGAAACTATCCATATATGCAGCTACGCGTGCATCACGCGTGCTCTCAGCACATGTACAGGAAATACAAATATTTTTATATAATAAATATTTTCCTTCTGTGCTTTCAGGTACATCAGCGTGTCCCCATGGATTTTTCCATTGTACAAATGCGGGATACATACCTAAGTTTATACCTTCATCTCGTGTCAACGATGGAATTTGTGGTATGTCAAATATAAACGAAAGTCAACAGCTTAGTTGCTTTATGTGCTCATGCACCACAACATAACATGCATAGGTACTTTATTTATCTAAACGTGGCTTATTAAAAGATATTAAGTATCAAACTTTATCAATGTGCAAAACTAGCTGTGATACTCGGGATGTATATAATCAGGAGTTAATAAAGACAAACCAACAATAATAATATGACAAAACAATAATAATAAGACAAAACAACAATAATAATAACAACAATAACCAACAACAATAATAATAATAAAGATAAACAAGACAAGGGGTTTGTCTTTATTAACTCCTGATATAATATAGATAATGTAGAGTAAGGTTGAAGATATATAGTTGCAGTGGTTGATGACTGATGTGGCTGAATTGTTTGGTTGATTTTCTGAGTTAATTTGTCGCTGATGCCATTTCAGATTGCTGTGATTTGAGTGATGAATATGATAGTCCTGCACGCTGCATAAATGACTGCAAGTACGTAGAATTTGTTGGCATTGCTGAGACATAGCTGCAGTACAATGGTGGCAATCAAAACCAGCTATCTGTGCAGCATAACCTATATATCACATTCGTCACAAATTGCAATCCCGTTTATAAATGAGGCCATTTTTAGTGCAAGTTCTTTAGTTTTTGTTCTGTTGTGCATTCAGCAATTTGCTGCAACTTAGGACTCATCTAAGTTCAAAGTATTATTTATTTTTGTATTTTGTTTTTTTGAAAGCACTTTCAGTAAATAATGGAATCTGTCGTGTAGTCACATTTGTCCTCATAAGAAGAAAGAAAACATTGTTTTTACATTTTGTTGATTTTGAGCCTTTTTAAGAAAATGACGAAAACCTGATTGTAGTTGTAGCAATTGCCATAAAGGAAACTGTTTACAGCATCGGCTCATGCATTGCATAGTACTGAATATTGTTATCGTGATGGCATAATGTACAGAGAACTGGGAGGTCATCGGATAAGAGAGCAAAAGGAAAAGCTAGAGCAGATCCAAAAAGGCTTTGAGACAAGGCAACTTCTGGCAAAGGAGGGCACGGAAAAGAAGAAAGAGCATGAGGTGGGTTTGTGTAGTAGTATTGCACATGTATGGTTTGTTCACACTATCAGGTGGATCAGACATAGTTTACATAACTAGTATATTAATTGTTGACACAGATTAGTGCCTACTAGGTAAATATATACCCTGTCTACTATGAGAATTTCTCTACTAGCAGAATTGGTGCTCCATCCGCTAGTATCCAATGATATTCTCCAGAGATGCAAGTCTCTGCAGATAGGATTGGGTACCTCTCCCAGAATGGCAAGATGCTTCATTTGCAGCTTTTCTTGTAGTACCACTTCTGTTATTATAATTTTTATTGCTACTATTATTATTGTTGTTGTTGGTCTTGTTGATTTTGTTGCTGTTGTTGTTATCTCATTATTAATGAAGAAATATTTTCTTCTGCAGGAGAAACTTGAGCAGTTGCAACAGGAGTTGCAGGAGCTGGAAGTAAAAAAACGTGAGCTAGAAGGTGAGTTAAGTTTGTGCGTTTGATAATATCAGGAGCACATAAATTAGATCTCTAATTCTTATCTAATTCATGTACTCCTGATAATATGGCGAAATATTATTACATACACTGATGCAATTGTCTACATGTTTGTCATGAACTTGGCAGTTTTAGCGTTGCGTTTTTCATTGTAGAAGTTAGTAACTGAAACTCGTTCTAGTTTCTAAGGAACGTTTTGCCCACTTCAGGTCTATCTGTAATGTTGTAATTTGTAATTTGCAATGTAATTTGTAATATAGTAGCAATTATAGTCTCTTGCTTACAAGTTGCTCATATTTTATTAAGGTTGTGCTCATTTTTAATTTGATAAGCTTAATTTCCTTCTATTTCCTATTTTGTCCTTTCACGTGTTGTACAAGTTGTTTACGTACATCTTTTTACTTGCAGTGGTGAAAAAAGCTGCAGAAGAGCCAGAGAAACAAGCAAAGGAAGCACACGAAAAAAATTGGCAAGGTGAGTGATCAATCAAAGTGTGGAATGTTGTTACTATATCTGTGCAGAATTATTATTTTTTCTCTCTTATTCCATTCTTCCATTACCAAACCATACAGTCAAATTGCTTTCAAGTGTGAGAGGCTTACATGAGTTGCAGTAACAGACAAGTGAATCCTATCTATGGATATAAGTGTCTTCCTCTTTTCATATGTAAGAAGGATCCTTCAACTGTTCCATCTACTACCATCTCATCAGTTACACCGCATGGTAATGGAATTTTCCCTGCACTAACTATTGCAATGCTTAGCCTATTGAGTTTGATTTCTGGTGTGCACCCTTTCTAACAGTAAGGTCAGTAGCATAGTTCAGTGAAACGCTCGTGTGTGGGTACACTGGCGGACCTTGTCAGGAATACTGTCGAAGCAAACATTCTCAACTTACACGATGTATGACCAGAGAAAGTGACACGTGGTGCAGGACTGCACGACTGTTGTATCTTGCCACAGCAGGCTCTGGGAGAAAGTCCACACACTTGATGTCATATCTTGTGCACAAACAAGCACAACAACGAGAGAAACAAGGGTAGTGTTACTATGAGAACTGGTGGTCGGCTAGCGTATCTCATTCTGTTGGTGTGTGTGAACTGGGTTAACGAAACTATGGTTGCATCATAGCGCTGGCATACTGAGCTTGGTAAGGGCAACATGCAGAAAGCAATGTATCCAACAGCTATAACATTCGTGTTGCTTAAGACTGTCTGGTGCAGTGCTCCAAATATTCTTTCTCTTGTGATTTAGAATAAGTTTAAAACATGCACAGTAATTCGATTTTGTATAGAAACTCACACAACTTGATATAATTGAACATTGCATCTGTTGTCACGTTTTAAACCTATTTCGTCGGCGAAATTAATTTTATATCTGCTGCCGTGTGCAGACGTACGATTAGATAATGCATACTTTCAAGAATGCAATCACAAATCACAGCGTAGGGCCCAAGAGTGGTACATTCGTCTCTGAGGACCCCACACCTTGATGCCCGTGCAATATTATAGCTACATCACTGTAATGGGCACGATATCTATGCTGGCATCAGTGCGCTTATCGGCTATCTATCCTGTCCAGTCGGTACATGTACATGTGCATGGTGTGCCAGCTAGCGTGGCCGTATCGGGGCCCTGATCTGTCATTGCTGGTGGTCCGCGTGTCAGCTATAGGAGCTTGGCGGCAGGATGCTCTTAGCTAGAAAAACAGAGACAGACACAAAACAAACGTTGGTTACTGTTGCCATGCCGACAGACGGAAGGGCGCGGTAACTGCTGCTAAACAACAACAACAAGCATGTGTACGAATATCACTATATATTTTCTAACTATTTCAAACGTTCCACCGTAAAGAGAATACACCTATATTGTACAAATATAAACGTGATACAAGGGTGTTTTTAAAGTTAAAATTATAGTGCTTCAAACAAACAAGATATATATATATATATATACTATATATGTACACAAATTCAAAAAATAGGTAAAGGGTGTTTAAATTTTAATCTATTTTTACTTCTTATATATATATAATACTAATAATAGAAGAAGTAGATAATGACTAGGCAGGACGCAAAGAGTTCTTCCCTATTATGCTAATCTTGATATGAGAGAGAGAGTATGATATATAGACTATATACATTTATTTATTTATTTATTTATTTATTTATTATAATTTATCACGCACATGCACACAGGTACGCAATGCGACGCATGCGTCCGCTCACATAAGCCATCACGCAGCACAACACACATACAATCACAGCACACACACGAGCAGCGAGAGACATCACACATCACACACACACACACACACCCACACACACACCACCACCACAACACGCAGCACACATCCGATAGTCAACTTGATGGATTTAATACTAAATTGTATAAAACATTTTATCAGCATCACACACGTGCACGCACGCACACACACATTAATACAAATAATCGCTGTGTGAATCCTATCTCACCCGAGCATGATTTGACAGTTTGGCAGGCTCGTTGGAGTCGGTGAATGTGGCAGTCGTGTTGTCTCAGGCAGCGTATATGTGCCATGGTTCGGCCGTTTTGTTGTGCCTGCATGCGTATGTCAGCTTCAATAGAATATAAGCCGCACCCTGCTGTAGTGTGTGTGTGTACACAACCTTAGATGACATACTGCATCTGTACGTTGTCCACTGTATAAGTGATCTAAAATAGTACTTAAGATACTACGCTGCCTCCCCCTTGCGCGTACACAGGCACACGCAGGCATGCACATCTTCTGGTCTTCACGTGTTCTTCCATAAAGCTTGTCAACCCATTCCTTACGTGAACATAAGCACGTTGCTTGCGTTCTCTACAGGAAAACATTACACCATCCACTACATTAGTAGGAGGCAGACCTAGCAGCGCTTGTCATGCAAAATGCATTTACCGCTGTTAGCCAAATCTACTATTCTCTTCCAGAGCAAAAGAAACAAAAAGCAGATGCGCTGAACAAAGCTGGAGCAGAAGCTGCTTTCCCAGTACTAGACGTCGACGGGGATGGCATGTAGGTTGCTCACGCACCCATTCACAATGCTTCTCCTGTCGTTTCTTTAATTGTCGATATATAATAAATACTGGACACTGATGCTGTGAGTTATACCCGTATAATAGCTGCGTAACGGATGAATGTGGTTAAAACACTATTCGATACTCGTAACAGCATGTGAACATGGTGTTAAATAAGGTGTTGTCCATTCTCCCTCGATGTTACATATTATAAGCATTCGAGACTGCCCTGTCGAAAGGTGGGGGGGTTGTGGTTGGATTTTTGTAGCATATGTACGCTTGATGCTTTCACTTTCAGCATAACTCCAGAGGAGCTTATGGTTCGCACAGAATTTGATATGAATGATGATGGTGTGATCACCGAGGAAGAGTTGAAGGTAAGCTATTCCTCTAAGTGTCAGTGGATAATGCCGGCTGTATACTCAGTCAAGTTAGATAGACTCTGACACTATCTAATTGTATTATGAGCTATATCATTATTATAATTATTTTTGTTGTTGTTGTTGTTGTTGTTGTTGTTTTTTCTTATTATTATTACCAGTAGTAGCAGTATTAACAATAATTTAATATTATTCCTTTTATACTGTACAATATTGTTGTGGCCATCATAGTGACTTACTAGTGTGTTCGTAAACTTATCATTGTTTTTTCCCAATGTCAGACAAGATTTGGCGATGAAGGTCTCATGGATTGGGACCTGGAAACGTTCACAGAAACCATGTGGTACAAGCTCAAGTACATATACCAGCACCCTAAGGTGAGCCGTGAAGCCTTACAGTTAGAGTGCATTGACGCGATCCTGTGATGTAGATTCACCATCGTCTGTAGCATAAGAAGATATCTGCGATGTGTCTGTTGGTAGCGTTGCGCGCAACGCAGAGCAGCGCATTAATACTGAGTTTGTTTCCGTGAAGGATGAGGAAGCCGAGGTTGCCGACGACAACGACAAGGAGCCTGAGCCTTTTTCCCCGCCATCTCCCTCCGTGGACGTAACCGAGGGTGACGGTGATGGCAGTGAACACGCTCTCGATGAGGTATTGGAGGAGACTGATCGAAATGGGAGTGGTGGAGGGGGGCAGTTGGGGTGTTGCACCAGCTTGGGGGATGTAGTTGTCGATTGTAGGGTGTAGGGATTTAATTAGTGAATAGAGAGTGAGAGAGATATATATATATAGTAAATTTTATGCTGCACAATGTCATACTCTAAGCAGATCCTAAGTCTCGTCATCTAAGAAGCAGAAACGTATATTGTTTTTGAGATAATTTGTATTAATTTCTTTATTTGCCAAATAGATCAGTAAAATATATTTAATTAGTACAAATTTTACCCTATTTATAGGCTATTGTGATTGCATATATATATATATATCTTCAGATTCTGGCCCATTTTCGTGTTTTGTGCTAAAGACGTTTTAGGTTATTGCTCTGAACTCTGATTGGTCACCAGGTGGTATTGAGAGAACCATGGTCCTGCTATGCCTCCACAACCTAGAAGTGTACTACATTTCTGTTATGAGCTGTAGCAGCTTTCTGGGTGCGTCCTACTCTCACCACCCGAATTCATAACTTTTTCCCGACTAGTGTTAACGTAGAGGATGCATGCAGCTCGCTGCGAAACATCTGTAGCGACGGTCGAAGGCGGCGTCGTCACACGCCGAGTGGCTTCAGTCTCCTGCTTCCGCCGAATCTCGCCGACTGCTTTTTTCCCGTCAACGAGTTACTGCGCAGGCGGCATCGCGGCGAGTCACGTGTGGTCGCCCCGGAGAAGCCTTTGCTTGCGCGAACGCCTCTGTTGCCTCAGAAAATATTATCGTTACGTTGAGTAGCGCACTGCAACAAGTCGCCGAGGCAGTCGGCGTTCGCGTTAGAGATCGCCTCGATAAAGACGGCGAGATGAGACTCTTAAAATGTCTGGAATCTAGAGCAACTGTTAACGAATATGTGTTCGTCTGTTTGTGTTGCCATCCGGTTTAGCAACAGCGGTCCGAAGAACAGCACGTAGCTAAGAGTTAGTACGTCTGCTGCGCTCAGGAATAGCTACACGCTACCGTGAATATGTGCACGTCGGCATTTCTAATCACAACAAAAATCCGCACGTAAAGTAGTATGTAATGAAATTCTAACATGCGTGTCATCCGTTTAGCCTAGCAAAAAGTTCTGATAAGTCATATCACGGCATATCGTGGCAACTCCCACGGTCCTTCTCCTGCCACTGGTTACAATAGTTTTGCTCACTTTTGTAACATCGAAGTTATTGGAATGCACTGGCCTTGACATGGCCACATCTCCCATTTCCAGCCGGGTGTTGATTCTGAGTTGATATGCAATTTGCCAACACGTGAGTGACACCATGAAATGAGGCTATTAGTTAGCAAAAACTTGTTGTTAAAATCTGTATCATGTTGGTATGGTTTGTTGAGCTCGTGGAGAGTACGCCAAGACAAACACGCACAGGATATGTGCTTCGTAATAACGAAGGGCAAGAAAATGAATATCGGCTGTTCAGCTAGCTTGTGATATCATTTATTTATAATGGCCACAAGCTTCTCCTCCCATCTACGGTCTTAACACTGTGGCGCTATTCCACGCCTTTTCACTCCCTCCTACCCATGCTTGTCTTTACCCAGAAATGCAGGTGTATTATTTTGCACACTGCTCCGAAATACAAACTCTATTGAGCCTATTAAGTCTCGCTACCTTAAATCCCAATGCGGGTAAAAAACGTAATGAACACTGGAAGTTTCCTGGCGAGAGAAAAAAGTCAATTTGCACATTCCTGCGACGTGAACTTCTCGCGAATGTTGATGAAGGCGCATTTTAGGACGCTCATGTGTAGCTGGTTAACTTGCGCCGCGACCCCTACCACGCGTTGAAATAACATTTGTCGAACATGCGCCCATATATGAGTAACAATTTCCATGTATCGGCAATCCGGGGCCCAAATAGTACCACATGAGGCCTATAACTTGATACTTGATGGCAAGGAAGCTTGCCGAGATTTTGCAGACTCCCCTCTGCTCACTGTTGACTTTTCACCACTGCAATATGGAAACAGGATGGCAGCATTTTTGGACAGAAAGCTGGTTTTGCTTATGGTGTAATAGGTAGAGGAGATGGGGAGGTGCGTGTCGTACTCCAGAGATGGTCAAAAAGGTCATGGTCGAATGTATATATATCCGGTGAGAGAGAGAAAACGATTGAAGGTGAAACTGGCGGTGTTGTTGTTTTTGGCCATATTCCTGTGTCCAGTGGTTCCGTACTGGACACATTGTGTTCACAACTTCCACATTGTGTTCGTTACTATTTTTGTAGGAGGAGGATGAGGATGATGATGATGACGATGACGACGACTTTTTGGAGGGAGAAGATGACGATGAGGATGCCGGTGATATGGATGATGATAAGGATGGTGCAAAAGATAAGATGCCTGAATATGAGACGGAAACAAAGAGATTAATCCAGGGTAATATGGATGTCCATTATTAAGACATGAAGTCCAGGTTAAATGCAAATAAAATAAGCAAAAGCAGAGTCTCAGTGTGTGTGTGTGTTAGAATATTGTTTTTGCTTTTTAAATATTACTTTTGTGACCTTTACAAGCTCAGTGGTATAGATGAAATTTTATATTTCTATGTTATGCCATCTAACTGTTTCTAGTCCCAGATAACAGGACTATTTAATGTTTGTTTTTTGGCTGTAGAAGATGATATACTGTAGAGAGTACTGAAGGGTGGGACCCTATAATAGATGAGGAATCTTATTTCTTTGTACCTTCTATAAATATTTAGAATTCTAGTATTTGGCTAATATGGATTGATTAATAATTCACATATACGTATATGTACACATATGTGTAATGTGTATTCTTATGCACACACACACACACGCACACACGCACGCACGCACAGGCAGACACACACACACACACACACACACACACACACACACACACACACACACACACACACACACACACACACACACAC